TGCCTTCTACAATCCGGGGATTCAAGGGGCGGGCGTAAAGTGCAATGGTGAATTTGGGTATCTGGTCTCCCAAAAGTACACTGCCGCTCTACGCCTGACTCTGCACATGGGCTGCCAGGCGGATCACCCCTCCACTGGAGCCATCCCGCTCCATGGCCAAAGCGAGAGCTGTGGATAAAAGGAAAAAGGTGGATTCATAGTCAGATGCTAGATCACTGGAAGGCCTGGCTTGGGGTGGGGGTGAGGGGGTGGGGTTTGAAGCTCAGCAGCCCAGAATCATACATTCTTACCATTGGCAGTGAATTGCAGACACTCTTCCTTGGTCATGCCTTCCCGGTAGGTAGCATCAACATAGCCATAGATATAGGAGCTCCCGGAGCCGCCAATGGCAAACGACTGCCGTACCATCATACCCCCCATGGGTACTGAATACACCTACCAGACAGAGAGAGAATAGTCATTTGTTGTACCTTCCCTCCAACACATGTATATTCATCTTTCTTTTCTTTCTTTTTATTTTGAGACAGAGTCGTTATTCTTCTTCTTTCAGTAAGAGATACCCCATACCAACACAAGATTTAATAAAGTTTGTCAAAAAGAATCTGTGCTTTAGAGTTCTTTTCTTCACCTCAAGCATGAATTTATTTGGCCCACTCCTGTCTATACAGACCATTGCACTGAGCTCAGAGAAAGTTGGAGAGGAGATGAAGGGAGTTTTTGAATGCTTCATTCCTCACTAAGCCTTTATGTGGGTGGTTTTCAAACCTCTTCTCCAGACCACCTTCCTACAAACTTCTTTTCCCGCCATATCCAGCTCCTTGAGCCACCAGAATGTGGTTGATGTGAGGCTACCAACATCTCTCCCTTTCAAGCCTAAGGTGGAACTCAGGATTATGACTGATAATAGAAGAACCTCCCCTCAGCCTGCTTCTTGCCAGACACCATGAGTGACTAAAGGACTCTTCTCCAACCCAGCCTCATGGTCCTCTCTCTGCACATTTAACCTCTGTCACCTCATCTGTGGTCAGAGCAGCAGTGTGACTTCCTTGGCTTTTGAGAGAAAGGTGGGCCTTGTCTGCAAATGGAATTAAGGTGAATGTTGGGTGGCAGAGAGAAGCCACTAGGAGTGCTTTTGGCTAGCTCTTTAAACTGCCGTTCCCATGGAGGATGTAATAGTAAGAAAGTCAGTCCTCAGCCCCTTGGATGGGAAGCTGTCTGGCCCCTCTGAAGTTGTCTTCTCTAAAGCCAGGCACCTAAAGGAGCTCAGTAGTACTCACTGATGATGACCCAGTCTCAGTCAGCCCCAGTTTTATTTTCTTCACTCTATGGATCAGGGAACTGTGGGAGCCACATTTGAAAACCTTGTAGAATATAATCCTACCCTAGAGGTTTCAGAGGGTAGGAGAGAGGCTTCCTTAGGAGGTAGAGAACTCCTGGATTAAATCAAGAAGAGCAGAAAAGGATCTCTGCCCCCAAACATGTGTACCTCCAACTTAAATAAGCAGAACTTTTTATTTTTGTGCCAAAACTTGTTCCCTCAGTCCTATCTCAAGGCATCATCTTTGATTCCTCTTTTGCCTTGTACTCCACATTCAATCAGGATAGTACGTCCTAAAAACTTTCTGAAGGTATATTTAGAATCCATCTACCTCTCACCATCTCCATACCACTGTCTTTATCCAAGCCAACATCATATCTTGCTTGGAAGATGACAGCAACCTCCTCAATGGCCTTGCTGCTTGCACATTTGCCTTTATATAATCGTTTTCCCATACAGCAACCAAAGTGTTCCTTGTGTGAGGCCATGTTACCCTGCTTAACATTCTTCAATGTCTTGCCATTCCACCTAGAATAATATTTTTGCTCCCTATCATGGCCTAGGTTAGAAGACCTAACAGTTTCCCTAATCTTAACACTCTGGTCACTGGTTTTTTTTTTTTTTTTTTCTATTTCCTAGAATCTTTGGGATTTTGCACTTACACTTGCTATATTTTCAGACTGGGGCTGTTCTTCCATGATTTTTTTTTAAATTAACTTTATTTTTTAGAGCAGTTTTAGGTTCACAGCAAAATTTAGTGGAAGGCACAGAGATTTCCCATATGTCCCCCTGTCCCCACAAATGCACAGCCTCCCCCAGTATGAACATTTTTTAGAACTGGTGGACCTATGCTGACACCATCCCCTGGCTTTCACATGGCTACTCATCATTCAGGTCTCAGCTCAAATGTCACCTCATCAGAAAGGCTTTTCCTGACCACCTGAAATTAAAGCAATGTCACCCTTCCCTGTACCACTCTCACATTACCTTGTTTAGTTTTCTTCAGAGCAGCACTTATTACTATCTCACATTATCATGCTTATTTGTTTGCTTTTATATGATCTCCCTCCCCCTTCTATAAAGCTCAGTGAAAAGACAGAATTCTTTCTTCTTGGTTCACTGATACATCCTCAATGCCTGGCAGGGTGTGGGCATTCGATATTTATTGAATGAATATGCTTCCTAACCCCGTCTGCCATCTTGCCTAGCCCCAGCCTCCCCAAACTCTTCTCACTGCAGTCAACTCTGAAGCTTGACTTCAGCAAACTCTTACTTTCCTCCTAGCCACACCTGGGCTCTGCATTAGATCAGCTGCCTGGTATTCACCATTCCTGTGTTGCCACTCCCACCCCATGCAACACTTCCCATCTCAGCCCCATAACCCAATACTAGCACCTTACACCCCCTCAATCTATTCCCCAACTCCCCCCACACACACACACACACATACAACACTTGGCAGCTCTGAAAGCATTTAATGAGAGAGTTATAAGGTACTTGGGGAGCCAGACACTGGGATCACAGAAATGGGGGAAGGAGGGTTGCCAAGCCTTCTTGGAGTTTCAGCCCTTGGTTGTCCCCTTCACATCGTGGAGTCATTGGCCGATGCTATGTCATGCAGCTGGTGGCGGAAGGAAAGGCGGGCTTTCCTGCTGAAGTAGGCACCAGCGTCTGCCAAGGGTAACCCCCCCTCAGCTACAGTGGGGGCTGTAGCTGGGCTGGGATCTGGAGGGGCAGCAAGATCCAGGCCTAAAAGGGAGGGATCCAAGGAAGAAGAAGGAAGTTGTAGGTTAGGATTCAATTCTCCCTCATCCCCCTACTCAGAGCCGAGGAAGAAGGAAGCTAGGGAAGACGCCTGGGGTGGTGGGAGTGCTGGTGGCAGCAGCAGGGAGAGGGAAAGGGAGAAGGGATGTTGCCCAGCAAGGAGGGTTGGCTCTCAGGCAGGCAACCTGTGCAGTTGCACACAGTCCCCCCTATTCAGAAGGGTCAGCCTAGCTCCCAGCAACCTCAAACTCCTGGGTTCATGTGATTTTCCTGCCTCAACCTCCCAAGTAGCTGGGACTACAGGCGCAAGCCACCACGCCTGGCTAATTTTCTCTATTTTTCATTGTCTGGCTAATTTCTCTACTGTTAGTAGAGACAAGGTCTCGTTCTTGCTGAGTCTGGTCTCCATCTCCTGACCTAAGCAATCCTCCTGCCTCGGCCTCCCAGAGTGCTAGGATTATAGGCGTGAGCCACCACACCCCACCTAGTGCTCTGCTTTCACCATCTCGAAATTCTTACATTTTTAGCAAGGGGCCCCACTTTTTCATTTTGCACTGGGCCCTATGAAGTACTTAGCCAGTGCTGTGAAGACTTGAGTATTCCAGCTCCCATCCCCCAGGGAGAAAGATGATCCTTTCTTTCCCTTTGCTGGTTTGAGCATTTATCTTTCTCCCCAGTGCAGTTGTCTATCTGCCTGACAGCCCCCTTTCCGTAAGAACATCCCGTACCTGTGCCTCTTTCAGTCCCCCGCTGTCTCCGGCACCCACACCATGGGAAACACCAAGCCCCCTTCAGACCCATCTCAACGGTGGAGGAGACCGAGTTGCTAGGAATGGCCAGGAGGGCCCCAGGGGGAGGGGTGTGGTTTCCAAGTCCCCCCACCATGGGCAAAACTACCACTTAGCCTCAGACCGCCTGGTGATTATAGGCGCCAGGGGATGGAAGAGGGAGAGGAGGGAGGAGAGAAGAGGTGGGGGGATCTTCCCATTCAAACACCTATTCTTTTATACCCCCTTAATTGGGAGGTTCTCTCTGGTCCCCATGGAGAAGCAGAAGATTGGGACGGGTGGCATGGCAGAGACAGACACAGAGGTGCTGTGACAGACAGATACAGTGAAAATTCAGCACAGGAATACCTGACAACTTGGTGCCAGACTGACACTGCTGGAGATTTGTTTGTCTTTTAGAATGAGAATTGAAGTGCCCAAGATGTAAAGTTTTAAAGAATATGTTTTTGTTTTTGTTTTTGTTTTTGTTTTGAGACAGAGTCTCACTCTGTTGCCCAGGCTAGGGTGCCATGGCATCAGCCTAGCTCACAGCAACCTCAAACTCCTGGGTTCAAGCGATCCTCCTGCCTCAGCCTCCCAAGTAGCTGGGACTACAGTCACGTGCCACCATGCCCGGCTAATTTTTTCTATATATTTTTAGTTGGCCAATTAGTTTCTTTCTATTTTTAGTAGAGACAGGGTCTTACTCTTGCTCAGACTGGTCTCAAACTGCTGACCTTGAGCAATCTTGCCGCATGGGCCTCCCAGAATGCTAGGATTAAAGGCGTGAGCCACCATGCCCGGCCTAAAGAATATGTTTTTAGGATGAGAAACTTTACTAACCAAGGAAATGTTTATACTCACATTAAATGGTCTGATAGCTCTTCTCCCATTATGAAGATAGTTGTAATTGATTAATTATGCTATGACATGTTATCTCATATCATTGAATCATATCAGTGATCTTTTGAGGTAACTGTTATTACTACCATGATTTTACAAATGAGGAAAGGGAGGCACTGCAAGATATCTGCTCAAAATCACACAGTTATCATCCAAACAGAAACCATGACCCCCTCAGAATGCTCACACTGAGTCAATCTGACCCCAGAGTCCGTGCTCTTCCCAGTGAACTTCTCAAGCATGTCCATAGTCATGGATGCCCTCAGCCAGGTCTGGGGTGGCCAGAGCCCAGGCTGGGAGCCTCAGGTCCAGAAAGCACCCTAGCCAAAGGCTCTAAGTACCCTCAAGTAAAGCTGTGCAAATGCTCTATCGTACTTCCCTAAGGGTGCCACCATGTGGGAAATATTAGGATGCACTGTTGATTCTGCTGGACTGCCTGACTTAGACAGAAACATTTGGTTTTTATTCTTTAAATGAACTTTACTGAAGTAAAAATATACATACAATTTCATGCACACATCTTAATGTACCCTTCCATGAGTATTGGCAAGTGTATACACCTATGCAATCACAAGTCCTATCATCACTCTGGAATGTTCCTTGTGTGCCCTTTACCAGCAATCTATTCCCCACACCCTGCCACAGGCAACTACTGATCTGATTTCCATCACTATGGACTGGTTTTGTCTGTTTTAGAACTTTATATAAATGGAATCTTATTGTATTTCTCCTTTGTGTCTAGCTTCTTTCAGCATAATGGTTTTGAAATTCATCCATCTTGTATGTATGTATTAACATTTTATTAATAATTTTATTTGTGGTTTTAAAATAGATTCATTGACATATAATTCACATATCATAAAGTTCACCCTTTTAAAATATACAATTCAGGCCGGGCGTGGTGGATCACTCCTGTAATCCAAGCACTCTGGGAGGCCAAGGCAGGCGGATCTCTGAGGTCAGGAGTTCGAAATCAGCCTGAGCAAGAGCAAGACCCCGTCTCTACTATAAAATAGAAAAATTAACCGGGCATGGTGGCGCATGCCTGTAGTCCCAGCTACTCGGGAGGCTGAGGCAGCAGGATTGCTTGAGCCCAGGAGTTTGAGGTTGCTGTGAGCTAGGCTGACGCCACGGCACTCACTCTAGCCTGGGCAACAAAGTGAGACTCTGTCTCAAAAAATAAATAAATAAAATAAAATAAAATGAAATAAAATATACAATTCGTCCCACCAGAGTCGCCAAAAAGAAAAAAAATATATATATATATATACAATTCAGTGGTTTTTTGCTATATTCACAGAGTTGTACAACCATCACAGCTATATAACATTTTTATCACTCCCAAAAGAAAACCTTGTATCCATCAGCAGTCATTCTCCATTTCCCCTTCTCCCTAGCCACTGGCAACCACTAATCTACTTTCTGTCCCTATGAATTTGCTTATTGTTATTTCATACAAATGGAATCTTACAGTATGTGGCCTTTTGTGTCTGGTTTCCTTCATTTAGTATAATGTTTTCAAGGTTCATCCATGGTGGTAGTAGCATGTATCAGTACTTAGTTTCTTTTTATGGCTGAATAATATTCCTTTATATGGATATACCACATTTTATTGATCCATTCATAAGCTGGTGGACATTTCAGTCGTTTCTACCTTTTGGCTATTATGAATATAATGCCATTGTGAATATTTGTGTACAAATTTTTCTATGGACATAGGTTTCTGTGGACATACCTCTTGGGTACATAGGTAGGACTGGTTGCTGGGTCAACTATTTTCTAAAGTAGCTGTATTATTTTAGATTTTATTCAATTAAATTGCTCAGTAATGTTTTACTATTAGAATATACCACAGATTAATCAAAATCAAAAACTTCTGCTCTTCAAAAGGCACCATCATTGAAACAATGAGAAGACAAGCCATATTCTGGGAGGAAATATTTGCAATACATACATCTAATAAAGGATTTGTATCCTAAATATACAGAGAACTTTTACAATTCAATAATAAGACAAATAATATGATTTTTAAAAATAAGCAAGACTTGAACACATTCTTTTACTTTTATTTATTTTTTTTATTTGCCTCGATTTTTCTAGTGTATATCAAGACAAAGACTTGAACACTTTCTAAAAGAAGATATAGCAATGGCCAATTAGCACATGAAACATGGTCAACATTAATCTCCAGAGAAATGCAAATAAAATGGCAATGATGTACCAAAAAACACCTATTAGAATGGCCAACACTAAAGATTGACAATATCAAACCTTGGCCATGCTGTGGAATAACTGGAACTACCATACATTGATTTTGGAACTGTACAATGGAATAATCATTTTGAACAAACGGCGTGGCAGTTTCTGACAAGTTAAACATACACTTATATGAGCCGACAGTTCCACTCTTCGCTATTTACTCAAGAGAAATGAACACATATATCCACAGCAAGACTTATTATATAGGAATGTTTATAGGAGCTTTACCCACGATAGACAAAACTAGAGAGAAAAAAAGTCTGCTTTTTAAAAAAAGATTGAAATGTCTTTTAGTAACTGAAATAATTTCGTTCCCCCCTGGGTTGTAAATTCCAGGAGAGCAGGTTCCGTGTGTCTCTCTTATTTACTACATGGGCTCAGTGTCTGACACGGAGTAAGTGCGCAATTAACGTTTGGTGAATGAATGAAAGAATGCAAGCCTTCATACATTAATGAATCTGTAGTCATCATCCTTCGGGCCTTTTATTCCCTCATTCCTCGCTCGAACTAGCGCTCTCAGCGCTAGGCCCGATGTGCTTCGTGGCCGCCCGGGGAAGGGGCCTCGGCAGGTCGGGGCTGCGGAGGCGCGTCCGTGCGCAGCGCCGAGCGCAGACCCGGCGGCGGAAAGGCACGCTCGGCCCGACCGCGCGGGACTGACCACGGACAGACAGACGGCGGACCCGCCGGCCAGACGCACTGAGCGGGCCGCGAGCCCCGCGGGGCGGAGGGCGCCCCGGGCCAAGGGCTGCGGGCGGGACGCCGGGCGGGCCGCGGGCGGCGGGGGCGGGACAGGACAGACGAGAATCCCGCGGAGGTGAGGCCGGGGGGCCGTCCCGCCCCCGAGGGCAGGCCCTGAGCCCCGGCCTCGCCCGGCCTCGCCCCGCCCCAGCCCGCTGGGGTGTGGGCTCGGGCTGCGCTCCGCTCTGCTCCCTTGCTCCGGAGCCCGCGCGGGCTCCGGCTCCAGCTGCCAGGGCGAGGGGGCCGGCCAGGGGCGCCGCCGAGGTCCCGGGCCCCGGAAATCGGGCGGGGACGGGAACCGGCTGGGGCCGCGAGGCCGCCTGACTCAGCCGCACGCTCAGATTTCGGGTTTTCTCGCCCGGGCCGGAGCGCGTAACTTCCTCATTCCCGCCTGGACCCCCGCTCCCAGCGCGCCCGGCCCGGCCGGAGCCCTGGCAGCCCCGCCCCCTCTCGACCACCCCCGGCTTCGGCGCGGCCCCAGCTCGGGGCCATCCCGGCCTGGCTTGGTGTCCCCCGGGCTCTGCTTACGGGCCAGGGGCCAGGACTGAGGGACTCTGGATGAAGGACTGAGGTAAGGGATAGAGATTAGAGGGGTGTCAGCGGGGCCTTGCAGACAGGTGGGGCTGCAAACAGAGAGAGGTTAGGAGTCAGTGGGAGCGAGGCGGGAGGGGAGGATGAGGACCTGTGGGAGATGGAGGACGTGTCGGGGTTAGGATTGGGTGCAGGTTCTGCAGGACACACCACTCCGCTGAGGCTTCCGCATGCTCCTAGGATGGAGTCCCCTGAGAACCTCTTCCCGTCCGGGGATGACCTGGACTCCAGCCAGTTACAGATGGAGTCGGATGAGGTGGACACTCTGAAGGAGGGAGAGGACCCAGGTACACAGGGAGTACAGATGGCCCTCGGGAGGGGAGGGAGAGGATGGAGCCTCCTGGACTCAACGCTCATGGGCTTTCTTTCCCCCCAGCTGACAGGATGCACCCCTTTCTGGCGATCTATGACCTTAAACCTCTGAAAGCGCACCCGTTGGTGTTCGCCACTGGTGTTCCTGTCACAGCCCAGGTGGTGGGCACTGAAAGATACACCAGTGGATCCAAGGTGGCTGGCTGGCACCAGAGAGGAGGGAAAGGGAGGGCTGGCCAGAGTGGGGGGCAGGGGCCCAACCAGGGGACATCAACGCAGTTCCTCACACTCCCAGGTGGGAACCTGCACTCTGTATTCTGTCCGCTTGACTCATGGCGACTTTACCTGGACAACCAAGAAAAAGTTCCGTCATTTCCAGGACCTGCATCGGGACCTCATGAGACACAAAGTCTTGATGAGTCTGCTCCCTCTGGCTCGGTGAGGGGGACCAGACTGCTTCCTGTGAAGGGCAGGTGCCACTCACTCTCCTTTCTGCCTGTCTCCCCCTCAGCCACAACCTTCCTGCCCCAGGCACTTTCCTTCCCCCGACTCTGGCCACTGGGCCCCCTTCCCTTGACCCTGGTTACTAGGAGACTTTCCCTGCTCAGCTCTCCCTGTCCATGGTTCTGTGCCAATATCTCAGCTGGGCTGGATGCCCAAAATGCCCTTGGCAGCCTCCCCCTTCTCTTGTCTCCATTTCCAAAGTAGGGGACCTTCTCTCCGCCAGCCTCTAGGCCTCCTCCAAGACCACATCTCCAGTGCTTCGGGACCCAAGCTCCCAGCCTCCCAGCCTTTCCCTGACCCTCACTCCATCCTTTCCACAGCTTTGCCGTTCCCTATTCTCCCACCAGAGAGGCAGCCAACAGGGACATGCCTTCTCTGCCCCGATCAGGTCCTGAGGGCTCCACCAGACATGCAGCCAGCAAACAGGTGGGACCAGACACCGTGTCCTCTGGGAAGGCGTTTGGTGTGAAATGGCTCTGGTCCCATCTGTGTCTCCCTCTCTCCCATCCCAACTTCAGAAATACCTGGAGAATTACCTCAACCGCCTCTTGACCATGTCTTTCTACCGCAACTACCATGCCATGGTAAGGTCCAGGGACTGGATGCCTGGGTCTTTGGAGGTGGAGCAGGAGAGTCTGACCCTCAGGGGGGCAGAGGGCCAGTAGCTGAAAGCCAGGTCTCTCCTCTGAGGTTTTGTCTTCCTCTGCAGACAGAGTTCCTGGAAGTCAGTCAGCTGTCCTTTATTCCAGACCTGGGCACCAAAGGACTGTGAGTGTCTGACACCCTTCACCCAGGTGTCTGTAGACATCACTCTCGATTTCTCCCTGCCTGAGAATGGGGCAAGCAGTGCAGGGTGGGCCGGGGCTCTGGAGTCCTCATCCAGCACCTTGTCCCAATTGTCCCCACAGGGAGGGGGTGATCCGGAAGCGCTCAGGCGGCCACCGTGTTCCTGGCCTCACCTGCTGTGGCCGAGACCAAGTCTGTTATCGCTGGTCCAAGAGGTGAGGGCTGGGGCTGAGCAGCTGGGCAGTGGGTGGGTGACGAAGGAGATGGCAAGGGCAGGGAGGAACGCATGGAGCCCTTCTGCTCCAGGTGGCTGGTGGTGAAGGACTCCTTCCTGCTGTACATGTGCCTCGAGACTGGCACCATCTCATTTGTTCAGCTCTTTGACCCTGGCTTCGAGGTGCAGGTGGGGAAAAGGAGCACAGAGACACGGTATGGGGTGCGGATCGACACCTCCCACAGGTAAGGCCTCCCTGGCGTGAGAGACACCTGGGGCGTGGAGAGCCAGACCACCCAGACCACGGCCCTGAGGGGAGTTGAATAGCAGAGACCACAGGAGAGAGGAACACTTTTCCACCCCCTTGGCCATGGCCATAGTTTTGAACCTGGGAGCGGGGCCAGCCAGTTGCTTGAGACTGCTCTTAGGTCTGGACCCAGAGAAAGGGGGTTAGTAGAAGCCTGGGGGTGGAGCTCCCAATATAAAAGAAAAGGAAATTCCATTCTTTCATTTGTTCATTCCACAAACCTGAGTGACAATACTAGTTGCTGGGGATCCAACTGTGAATGAGGCAGAGGTATTTGCCCTGTCCCTGTGGAGCTGTGGTTAGGGACTAAGGGAGGAAGTGGAAAGAAGGGTGGAGTCTCTTGGCAAGGCCACAGTGTGGAGGGTGAGGATTAGTGGTCCTTCTTATTGTTCCTGCCCAGGTCCCTGATTCTCAAGTGCAGCAGCTACCGGCAGGCACGGTGGTGGGGCCAGGAGATCACTGAGCTGGCACAGGGCCCAGGCAGAGACTTCCTGCAGCTACACCGGCATGACAGCTACGCCCCGCCCAGGCCTGGGACCTTAGCCCGGTGGTGAGACACTGACATCCCTTCTGAGCTTGTCTGTGGAACTTCTTGGCCCCTTGATATTCTCTGAATCCTTGATCCTCTCTTTTATGTCCTCTGACCCCTTCTGACTTCAGTGACCCCCCCCCCCCCCCCCCGTGACTTCTCTAATCTCCCTGATTCCTGACCTCTTTAACCATGTTGATCTCTCTGGTTTCCCTCTGACCTTTCTGACCCCCAAATTCAGTAATCTACTCTGACTTTTGACCTCTTCTGAGAGTGCCCCATTTACCCCCTTTACCACACTGACCCTCTGTTCCTTATGATCTCAAATCTCTCCTTTATTCCTCATTTAATAAACATTTTCTGAGCAGGTACTATGTGGCTAGAATAAGTGCTGGCAATAGACACGGGCTCCTCTGGTTTAGGGAAGGGGGTGATCTTGTAATGAGACAATATGGACTTGCCATACTGGTGACAGACACAGGGTAATGAGCACAGAGGTGGGGCAGCTACCCCAGTGTGAGGCTGTCAGGACAGGTGTCCAGGAGAAGGTAACCCTGAGGTTTGCCTTAGCAAGATAAAGAAAATGGAGAACAGTCTAGGCAGAGAATATAGGAATAGCCTGGCGTGTTTGGGCACCACCAGGACTGACTGTTGTTGCAGAGTGAGGAGGAGCACTCAGAGGAGGGTCTGGGAGTTGGCAGCACCCTGATTAGTGGGCTAAGCTGAGGGGGTTGAACTTTATCATAGGCAGAGGGAGTCATGGAAGGAATTTTTTCTCAGTGGTGCTGTTGATATATATATATTTTATTTTATTATATTATTTATTTATTTATTTTGAGACAGAGTCTCACTATGTTGCCCGGGCTAGAGTGAGTGCTGTGGCATCAGCCTAGCTCACAGCAACCTCAAACTCCTGGGCTCAAGAGATCCTGGTGGCTCAGCCTCCCGAGTAGCTGGGACTACAGGCATGCGCCACCATGCCTGGCTGATATTTTCTATATATTTTTAGTTGGCCAATTAACTTCTTTCTATTTTAGTAGAGATGGGGTCTCGCTCTTGCTCAGGCTGGTTTCGAATTCCTGACCTCGAGCAATCCACCTGCCTTGGCCTCCCAGAGTGTTAGGATTATAGGCGTGAGCCACTGTGCCCGGCCAATATATATATTTTTAAACATAAGAAGTAATAATAGCTAATATTTATGTAGCATTTACTATGTGCCAGGAACAAAGTGTTTTGCATGTATTAACCTATTTGATGCTCATAACAGTTCTACTGGGCAGGTACAGTAGTTATCTCCACTTTACAGATGAGAAAATGGGCAATGGGAGGTTAAGGAACTTGCCCGAGGTTATATACCTTATATAACCTTGACTGGGCATGGTGGCTCACACCTGTCATCCCAGAGCTTTGGGAGGCCAAGGCAAGAGGATTTTTTTTTTTTTTTTTGAGACAGAGTCTCACTTTTGTTACCCAGGCTAGAGTGCCATGGCATCAACTTAGCTCACAGCAACCTCAAACTCCTGGGCTCAAGCAATCCTCCTGCCTCAGCCTCCCGAGTAGCTGGGACTATAGGCATGCACCACCATGCCTGGATAATTATATATATATATATATATATATATATATATATATATATTTAGTTGGCCAATTAATTTCTTTCTATTTATAGTAGAGACGGGGTCTTGCTCTCGCTCAGGCTGGTTTTGAACTCCTGACCTCGAGCGATCCACCCACCTTGGCCTCCCAGAGTGCACAAGAGCATCTCTTGAGTCTGAGACCAGTTTGAACAAGAGTGAGACCCTGTCTCTACAAAAAAAAATTTAAAAAGCCAGCCATGGTGGTGTGTGGCTGTACTCACAGCTACTTGGAAGGCTGAGATGGGAAGATCATTTGAGCCCAGGAGTACTAGGTTGCAGTAAGCTATGATTAAGCTACTGCAATCCAGCCTGGGCAACAGAGCGAGACCCTGTCTCGTAAGAAAAAAAAAAAAAAGACTGTGCTCTTAACCACCATACTAAATTGTTAGTTATAAAAAATTAAAATAATACAGTAACACATTAAGTAGAAAATTAAAGTTCCCATTCATCACACAGCCATGTACCCCCCTACTCTTTCCCTGTACCCCCTCCTGACAACTCCATTTCTCTTCATGAAAGTAAAGCTGGCAGTAGTTTGATATCTATCCTCCTAGAACCTAGGACCTACATCTTTTCATGCATATTTTTATATACACATGCACATGTTTTTGTTTTGATGTAAATGAGATCACATACCCTCTTCCATGCCTTTTTTTTTCAGTTAACACATGTGTTAGAGATTAGATATTTAGGTTATTTCCCATTTTTCACTCTTACAATGCTGCAGTAAATACAATCTTTGTCTAAGCATTTTATAGGGTGAATTTCTAAAAACAGAATTACTATGGACTCCTTCCCTTCCCCTCCCTTTCTACCAAAAAAGAAAAAAAAAGGAAAAAAAATTACTGTGAGTATTTAATGGTATTAAAGGGTATGTGCATTTAATATTTTGATAGACAGTGTCAAATTATCTTCTGAAAGGTCTAAATAATCAATATATATTCCCATGGTCTGTGAGAATACTTCCTTCCCCATATGTTAATATTGAATGTTACCAGTGATTTTAATTTTGATAATCTCGTAGATTTTTTAAAAAATGTTATTTCATTTTAGTTTCAGTGTCCTTGTTTATCAGCGAAACGGAACATCATTTCCCCTGATTGACCATTTTAATTTCCTCTGTGAACTGTCAGTTCTTATTCTTTGCTCATTTTTCAGTTGGCTATGTCTTTTTCTTATTGATTTGTTGGTGTTCCCTTTATGTGATGTGTTAGTTCTCTCAATCTTCAGTGTCTTTAATTTATTGCGTCTTTTGTAGTTTTTATTTTGATTTAGCTCATAATGGCCGTCCCCATTTTGATATATCCAATCCCATCTGTCCTCTCTGATCATTCCTGATCTTTGACCCTGCTGTCACCTCTGACCCATGGCTGTCCTCCGGTCTTCACTCTCCAGAGCTTTCTGGCTTCTGGCTCCCCTGACCTCCTTGGCTTGGGCTCCCCCCAGGTTTGTGAATGGGGCAGGTTACTTTGCTGCTGTGGCAGATGCCATCCTGCAAGCGCGAGAGGAGATTTTCATCACAGACTGGTGGTGAGTGGGGAGGGGCTCACGGAGGAAGGGAAAGGATTGGGGCTGGGGCCCATCAGCAGATGGGGGGAGAGGGGGAGGCGAGGCCGGTTGTCTGGGGGTGTAGCTTGCCCTGAATCCCCCGCTCCGAATCCCAGGTTGAGTCCTGAGGTTTACCTGAAGCGTCCGGCCCACTCAGACGACTGGAGACTGGACATTATGCTCAAGAGGAAGGCGGTGAGGAGAGTGGTCAGGCTGGAGGGGGCTCAGGGTTTGCCTGTGGGTGTCGGTTGATTAGAGCTGCAGCCTGGGAGAAGGGAGGGAATCCCTGAGGTGTCCCTGTCAGACATCACCTCCTCCCTCTCCGTCTTCCCTGAGGAGTGCTGATACCTTCCTCTTCGTGCTCCCCTCCGCCTGGCAGGGATTTCTCTCCCAGTACGCGGAGCACTTTACTGTGTTACCCGGGAGTGCCCATGTCTACTCTCTCACTGGACTAATTAACATCACTAGTTGCAGTCCAAGGCACAGTGCCTGCCACGCAGCGGGCCTCTGTGGATGTTGATGGATGGGAGGAAGGATGCACAGATGAAGGATGGTGGGCGGCAAGTGGATGGATAGAGGATAGAAAGGGAGATGGATGGGAGAATATGAGTTGGAAAAGTGGAGGGACAGGAGGGTGAGGGTAGATGGATGGGTGAATGATAGGTAGTAGAGGAGGGGATGAGTAAACGGTTGGGAGATGGATGGAGAGATAATGTGGGGTATGTGGCTAGATGCATGGGTGGATGAGTGGGCGAGCAGACCGATGACATTCAATCTAAGTTTGCTGCACGCAGCAAAGCAGTGTGTATGTGGCAGAGCCTCCCAGGCAGGGTGGAGGGACATACAGGAATCCCGAGCATGGGGAGGGGTTTGGGAGGGTGGAAAGGGGCTGTTCTCCAAGGATCTGATTCCTCACTCACCACCAGGAGGAGGGCGTCCGTGTGTCCATACTGCTATTTAAGGAAGTGGAATTAGCCTTGGGCATCAACAGTGGCTATAGCAAGAGAACTCTGATGCTGCTGCACCCCAACATAAAGGTGACTGTCTGGCCTTGGAGACACTTCCCACACTAGAACCCTCCTCACCACATGTTCCCAGCCCCCAGCCCTCTCTCTCCCGGAAGGTCTCATCCTTCCATCTTCTTGTTCTCCCTCCCATTGCCTCTTCTGTCTTCCCGCACCTGAACCCCCCCATGAACATGTCCATACCTGCTCCAGGTGATGCGCCACCCAGACCAGGTGACGCTGTGGGCCCATCATGAGAAGCTCCTGGTGGTAGACCAAGTAGTGGCCTTCCTGGGCGGGCTGGACCTTGCCTATGGCCGCTGGGATGACCTGCACTACCGACTGACTGACCTCGGGGACTCCTCTGAGTCAGCCGCCTCACAGGTAGCTCCCCGGAGGCCTTCCTGAGCGCCCCCAAACTCAGATAACCCAAATCCACACCCCTTCCCAGCTCCAGCCTTCCCCCTCCAGTCATTGCAGGCATGCCCACCTCAGCGTTCCTTAGCCTTTCTGGGACTGCAAGAACTCACTTAGAAAATGCTACACCCCAGTGCCATCTAAGGATATTGGATGTCCTACGCAGTCATTGGGGAGGGCTGAGGAATGAAACTGTCTCTGTCATTCTCACTGTCTCTGTCTCTCTCACACTCTTTCAGTGCTCCTATCTTCTCTTGGCCTTGGCCCTGGCTGGCCCCATGACCTCCCCTTGCCCCTGGCTTGGGTATGTTCCCCCTACAGCCTCCCACCCCGTGCCCAGACTCTCTGGCCACCCCAGACCTCTCTCACAACCAATTCTTCTGGCTGGGCAAGGACTACAGCAATCTTATCACCAAGGACTGGGTGCAGCTGGACAAGCCCTTTGAAGGTGAGCCCCTCTCTTCCAAAGCCCCCAAAAGCTGGGAGCGGGGGCAGAAGTTGGGGCCGGGACTGAGGATGGAACAAGAGGGGCCAAGGGGAGTGCAGCCTTGCCTCCAGCAGTCTCCTCCTCCTCCCTGCCCTAAGTGTCCCCGAGAGACCAGCTCTGGCCACTCCCCTGACTATCCTGCGACCCCCAGATTTCATTGACAGGGATACTACACCCCGGATGCCATGGCGGGATGTTGGGGTGATTGTCCATGGCCTGCCTGCCCGGGACCTCTCCCGGCACTTCATCCAGCGCTGGAACTTCACCAAGGTGCTCACCCCTCCAGTGGGGGCTGGAAGTAGGGGAGGGAGGCAGGGTCAGCTTGCCACCTCCTGCTGACTCTGCCATGCCTCCACCTCAGACCACCAAGGCCAAGTACAAGATACCTATGTACCCCTACCTGCTGCCCAAGTCCACCAGCACTGCAAACCAGCTCCCCTTCACGCTCCCAGGGGGACAGTGCACCACTGTGCAGGTGAGGCTCCCCACTTCAGCCAGCACCGCCCTTCCCTTCAGCCCGGCGCCCCAGCTTACTCTCCCTGATGCGCAAGTCCCCCAGACTCCTCCTCTCCTGGGACTGGAACCACTTCCTATTCACTGTCCCTCTAGGTCTTGCGGTCAGTGGACCGCTGGTCAGCGGGAACTTTGGAGAACTCCATCCTCAATGCCTACCTGCACACCATCAGAGAGAGCCAGCACTTCCTCTACATTGAGGTCTGGCTGGGTGAGGGCAGAAGGAGAGAATGGATGGGATGTCCCAAGAGAGAGGCCTGGGAAGTCAGTGGGGCCGTAGCTGGGCTGGAACAGGAGCAGATGCCTGGAGCCTGTGAGCAGGGACAGGGCTGGGAGCTGAGGGCAGGGGCTGGGTGTGTCTGCTGATATCTGTCTCTGGTCCCTGCCATAGAATCAGTTCTTCATTAGCTGCTCAGATGGGCGGACGGTTCTGAACAAGGTGGGCGATGAGATCGTGGACAGAATCCTGAAGGCCCACAAGTAAGGTGGACTGTCCGGAAGGTGGGGGCTGTGAGTGTGGCTCAAGCCCCACTGGAGGGGGTGGGGGTCGAGGGACCGGTCACACCTCTGACTCCAGCCTCTCCCCAGACAGGGGCAGTGTTTCCGAGTCTACGTGCTTTTGCCCTTGCTCCCAGGCTTTGAGGGTGACATCTCCACAGGTGGTGGCAACTCCATCCAGGCCATTCTGCACTTTACTTACAGGTACAGACCCCTCGCCAGACTCTGCCTCTCAATGTCCACCCCCTGTGCCCCTTCCTGACTCTGTCCTGATCTCTCCTCCCTGCTGGACCTTTGAGGGCCATGTCTCTCCTGACCTCTTCCTCCCTCTCCGTCCTCACCCTTTTTTTTTCTTCTCTCAGGAGCCTGTGCCGTGGGGAGTATTCCATCCTCCATCGCCTCAAAGCAGCCAGTGAGTGCCAGGAACTGGGGGTTCAAGCCCTGGGCCCTGGGGAGAGGGAGATTGGGGAGCTGTAGGCCTGGGAATGTGGGGAAGGAGGCTGTCATCCTTGTGTGCCTCCAAGGCTACTCAGACCACAGGTGGCCTTTCACTGCAGGGAGAATCATACAGACCAGACTCTAGGAAGGCCTCCTGAAGTGAGAAGAGAGGTGGGACAGGCCCCCATCTGCACACAGGGGGTACCTTGACCCTACTCCCCTCTCTCCTATCCCATCTCTCTCCTGCGCAGTGGGGACCGCGTGGCGGGACTATATTTCCATCTGCGGGCTTCGCACTCACGGAGAGCTGGGCGGGCACCCAGTCTCAGAGCTCATCTACATCCACAGCAAGTTGCTTATTGCGGATGATCGGACAGTCATCATTGGTCAGAGCCGGATCTGGGCCCCTGGCAGTGAGAGGAGGGTGGAGAGGGACAGGGGGATGAGGGAGTGGGATGACAGGATGACAGGGTCTGCAGGCTGAGTTTCCCCTGGGGGTGGAGGTGAAAGAGGGTGTTGCCCTCAGGCCAGTGCCCTGCTAAAGGTGATGGGGCATGGGGGTGGTTCCCCTGGGCCGAGACAGACATAGTATGCCCCCCATGACCCCAGGTTCTGCAAATATCAATGACCGGAGCTTATTGGGAAAGCGGGACAGTGAGCTGGCTGTGCTGATTGAGGACACAGAGATGGAACCATCCCTCATGGATGGGGCAGAGTATCAGGCGGGCAGGTTTGCCTCGAGTTTACGGAAACACTGCTTCAGGTAGAGCCTGGGAGGGGTGCCACAGGTGGGGGGCAATTGGGGGGGTCTGCCTTTTGAGCCAGACGTGATGGCTGCTTAGAAGTAGTACTGGATTCCCAATAGGCAGACATCCAGCTTAGGGGGTGAACAAGGCAGGAACACCAAAAAAATGAGAAAAAAATATTTAAAAAATAAAAAATAGGCCGGGCGTGGTGGCTCACGCCTGTAATCCTAGCACTTTGGGAGGCTGAGGCGGGCGGATTGCTCAAGGTCAGGAGTTCGAAACCAGCCTGAGCGAGACCCCGTCTCTACCAAAAAGAGAAATAAATTAATTGACCAACTAAAAATATATATATACAAAAAATTAGCCGGGCATGGTGGCGCATGCCTGTAGTCCCAGCTACTCGGGAGGCTGAGGCAGTAGGATCGCTGAGCCCTGGAGATTGAGGTTGCTGTGAGCCAGGCTGACGCCACGGCACTCACTCTAGCCTGGGCAACAAAGTGAGACTCTGTCTCAAAAAAAAAAAAATAGTCCGGGGCCCAGTACAGTGGGTCACGCCTGTAATCCTAGCACTCTGGGAGGCTGAGGTGGGAGGATCCCTTGAGGTCAGGAGTTCAAAACCAGCCTGAACAATAGTGAGACTCTGTCTCTACTAAAAATAGAAAATATTAGCTGGTGTCAATGGCATGTGCCTGTAGTCCCAGCTACTCAGGAGGCTGAGGTGGGAGGATTGCTGGAGCCCAGGGGTTTGAGGTTGCAGTGAGCTAGGCTGATGCCACTGCATTCTACCCAGGGTGACAGTGAGATTCTTTCTCAAAAAAAAAAAAATTAAAAATTAATTTTTTTTTGAGCATCAAAGTCTGTTGGACTCCTTTATACTTATTTTACTCTTTTATATTACATTTATTTTGATTACTTGAGTAGGGACAATATAACTTCTGGTACTCAGGTTTTTGTGGGATTAACCTGGCCCTGCTGGGACCCCTGTCTCCCTCAGTGTGATTCTTGGGGCAGATGCCCGGCCAGACCTGGATCTCCGAGACCCTGTCTGTGATGACTTCTTCCAGCTGTGGCAAGAGACAGCTGAGAGAAATGCCAATATCTATGAGCAGGTGCGAGCTCAGTGGGGATGGCCTGGGGGAATTTACAGATTATCCTGCTCAGGGTGGGATGGAGCGAAGCCCCTCCACACAGTCATTCTCAGAAGGGGGATGAGAGTCTGGGGGGCATTTGCTGCCAAGGGATTCAGTGGCCGGGGGCGGTGTGGGGGTGTCAGAGATGGTGTGGGGATGGGGGAGCCCAGCTGGGCTTGGCTTTTTGGGCGAGTCTCCCCAAGCCTTACTGGCTTCTGTGCCCCCTTGCCCACAGATCTTCCGCTGCCTGCCGTCCAATGCCACACGTTCCCTGCGGACACTCCGAGAGTATGTGACTGTGGAGCCCCTGGCCACAGTCAGCCCTCCCTTGGCCCGGTCTGAGCTCACCCACATCCAGGGCCATCTGGTACACTTCCCCCTCAAGTTCCTAGAGGATGAGTCTTTGCTGCCCCCCCTGGGCAGTAAGGAGGGCATGATACCCCTAGAAGTGTGGACATAGCTGAGGCTCCAGATGAGGAGAGGTCACCAGCTGCTGGGGTCCACCAGATCTGGCTCCCTTACCTTAACCCTGAGGTCAGAGGGCAGTGCCCTCTGGGGAGACAGGCATCCCTGAAGGGGACTAGAGAAGAAGTCACAGAAGACCTTGACTTGAGAAGGAGCCAAAGAGGGCACTCCCAACGCAGGGCTGGGGTGGCAGGAGAGAGTCCAAAGGAATTTCATCCTCCCTGCTGCCCAGTTCAAACCACTACCACAGAGGAGAAGCACAACTCCTGCCAGGGTGATCAGGGTCAAGCCTCTTATTCCAGGAGGAGTGGACTCTGCCCTAGGCCTTCCCCATCTCCCCTTCCTCCTCCTGCCCCTAAACCCCCTCCCTGCCCCAGGGCCTCTCCTAGCCTAGTACTGCCAAGGTGGAGGGAAGGATGAAGCCACTTTTGGCTTCAGCCTCCACTAGAGATGGGAAGGGGGGCACACTAACTCCCTGTACCAACCCGCTGACAGACACTAACTCTGTATCCGTTTGGTAAGCATTTCATAAATAAAAGTATAGAAAAGGTCCGTGCCTGTTCCTTGAAGGAACTGAGTGCTGGTCTCAGCCTCCCCTCCCTGCCTACACAGGGCACTAGTCGCCTTCACCTTATCTCCACCCCACTCCTTTCTTCTTTCTCCTGTCCCCATCTCTGTTCTACTTGTCTGTGGCTCTGGGAGCTGGGCCACCTGGCTCCTGAGAGGTGGTCATACAGTGCTACCTGGGAGAAGGAAGAGCAGGGCCAAACCAGGGCGCCTGGACAAATGCCGAGCTGACCTTGCAGCTGCAGATGAGGGAGGTGTGCAATGAGAAGGGCCTGGAAAGGCCACCTCTCCTTCAAAGGATAGCCCTGTTGGAGGCTTTGGGAAGTCCCTTTGGGAGTGGTTAAGGGTATAGGATTGAGGTTAAGGAGAACTAGGCCCAAATCGCAGACTTGTCAGTTGGAATCTAGGTGACCTTGTTAAGTCACATCACTTCTCTGGGCCTTGGTGGTCTCAGGGAAATGGGAATAATGTTTACATGACTGGCTTGCTGAAAAGACTCAGTCATTGACTCAAATGTTTACTGAGTACCTGTTGCTTGCCAGGCTCAACATTGTGGCACTTATGTTCTGGAGTTTCGACTGTCCAGTATAGTAGCCACTAGCCACATTTGGCTGTTCCAATTTAAATACATTGAAATGAGAATTAAAAATTTAGTCCCTCACTCATACTCACATTTCAAGTGGTCAGGAGCCACTTGTTGCTAGTGGCTGTTTCTATCACTGCTCAGAGTTCTATTGGACAGCACTGCTCCAGATGGAAGAGACAGAATAACTGACACAGTCTATGAAGGTGCATAGCACACGCACTGAATCGAGGATAGTTACCTTCCAGGAGGGGTACACAGAGAGAACTTCAACTCAGTTGGTAACTTGCGTTTCTTAAGCTGAATGATTAAGTATATGGATTTACATATACACCCCACACACATGCATAACTTTTTGCAAGTCCAAAATATTTCACAATTAGAAAAGAGTTTAGCACAGGTCCTGACTCTTGTCGTTCATTCTCCCAGCCTCACTCCTGTAGTCTCAGAATTGACCACAGAAGCAGGAGAAACCAACAGGAGGAGAGGGAGGACTTTAGGAAGCCTTCCCGGAAGCGGGGTGTGCGGGGTAGGTGAGGATGTGAAGAGAGGGAATTTTGTTGCCCTGTCCTGTTCTCTCCTTTTAACTCCAGCCCTCAGTCCTCTCAAGAAGCCACTTCCATGCAAGAAATCCCCCACCCACATATACCACATCTCTCCTCTCTCTGGTACTAATTTGTTAATTAGCCTCATTGTCAGTACTAACTGCCTTTTCCCTAGGGGGACCATTACCTCATTAAAGGAGTGGGGTAGAGGCAGCAGCTGCCCCAGGCTGGGCCAGGGGATAGGGGAGCTTCTGCCCCACACTGTCCATCTGCCTTTCCCTCCCTCTTCCTGCAGTTTCTTGAATGGAGGCCAACCACAGTGCAGGGGGACAAAGCAGAGGGCTTAGAATCTGAACAGTTGGCTCTAGATCCAGAATGGAAAGAGTCCAGTCTCCCAGGGTTGATGGGAGGCCCTGAGGGTCACTGTGCCTATGCCTCCAGGGATCCTATAATTTGTCTTATTTTCTTTTTTTAAGTTTTTCTCTTTTATGTCTTATTTTTAATATTTTTACTTCTCTTAGAGCATGGTCCAGAGCTCCCTCTACCACATTGTCTTTTCTTAAGTTTTTATTATGGACAACTTATATATATATATATGTATATATACATATATATATATAGAGAGAGAGAGAGAGAGAGAATGAACTCTCCTGTCTCCATGTATTTCCACATATCCTTACTCTAGCTTCAATAATTATCAGCCCGGCCAGTCTTGTTCTCTTTCCTCCCCACCCCTGAGATTATATTGCCTCTTGGGACTTGGGTGGCCATTTATCCCACCCTTGTGATCTTGATTTGCAATTCACTCATTTAGTATGTATCTATTAAACACTCTATGAGTCAAGCATTAGTAAATTTACTGAGGACCCAGTATATGCTAAGTGCTTTACATACATAATTTTATTTTATCCTAACCTCCATATTATCTCTGTTTTACAAATGATAGAATTGAGCCTCAGAGAGGTTAATGATTTGCCTGAAGCCCTAATTTCAAATTCCATGCTTTTCCTACTATCCCAAGATCTTAACCTTGAGCTAATACTGTGCCTACCTAGACAACAGATGCCTTCATTAACTGATTTTCTAGTGGGTGCCAGGCCCTGTTTCGAACAAAACCAACATCATTCCTGCCTTTAAGGAGTGTGAGCTATAATAACATCTTAAGCTCCCCCAGATGACTGAATGGACCCCCTCTTAGCCAAGAGGACCCTAGAAATACCAAAAAGCTGACTTGGCCATGGGAAGGGTGGTCAGACACTGCTCATCTTGCCCTCCTCCCTTTTTGTAGCTACCCTCTAACTCATTAACAGGCCTAAGGCTATGCAAGACAAATCTACAGGTCCTCAATTTACATAACAAATCACTTGAGTCTGGATATTTGGCCTGTGGCTTATCTCTGATTAACAGACTTCCTTATCTTCACTTAAAACATTCTAAGGCTTTAGACAAAGCTTCATTTTTTTTACCAATTACAACACATCAAAGAGTCTTTAAACCCACCTATAACCTGAAGGCCCCCCTCCCTTGAGATGTCCCACCTTTTGGAGCCAAACCAATGTATACCTTCCGTGTATTGACTTAGGAGTAGTTCCTGTCTCTGAAATGTGTAAAACCAAACTGTAACCCAACGGAGTCTACTTGTGTGAGTATTCTTGAGCATGCCTCTGGGCCATGGTCCTCAAATTTGGCTCAGAATAAACCTCTTTAAATTATTTTACAGAATTTGAGTTATTTTCCGTTGACAAACAGGAGAGTGACATCAAATTTGGATTTTAGGAAAATCATTCTGGATATGAAGAATTGACTTGAGGGGGTTGGGTAGGAAGGCCAAGTAGGATATCTAATGGAGTAAAGTGGGGATTGTGACTTGGTTAGGACAATGGTGAGGAAAATGAATTGGCAGGAAGGAGAGCAAGATTGAATGTGCATCCAGATGCTAAGAAAGGTCCAGAAGGGAGGGTGTTCAGCTTTTTTCCAAGGACCTATCAGTCAAACTCTGATAAAAGCTGGTGGTGGAGTCTTTCAGATACTGTTGGTGCTGGAAGAGATCTTGAGGGTTATACAGTCTTCCTCCTCAACTTCACAGTAAAAGAAAAGCCCAGGGAAGCAAAACAATTTGCTGGAGGTCGCACAGCATGTCAGGGGCAGAACATGACTTCCTGTTCTTACACAGCATTACCCAGCCTCCACAGAGGCTAATGGCTAGGGGGGCTGTGCCAACACGACTAGATCTAAGGTGACCCAAGCAAGATTTGAAGGGATTGAACACAGATTTCTCCTCTTCCCCTCTGTTGCCCCTTCCCCCATGCACCATTCCAGGGATCGGTCAACAAATAATTGTTGAAACAGTTCCTTTGTGCAGAACACTTTGTTAAGAGAGGTGCAGTGATTACAGTCTGCGGTGGGATTCCCTAACCAGAGATCTGAGGTCCCCTCCTCAGTACTCCCCATTCCAGCTAGGGAAGGGAGTGAGTAAAGGGCATTCCTGAGGCAGCCAGTACCCCCCCTTCCACCGCACCCCCACGCCCACGTGGTTTCTCTAGCCAAGTTTTCACAGGGAGGCCACTCCTTCAGCGGCTCCACTGTTGCCATGGCAATTGGGTGGGTGGACAGCCCGTCCTATCTGGAGGCCACCCAGCCCTCGCGTGGGGAGTTACCATAACAACTCCCCTAGTAATAGAGGGGGTTGGGTCCCGCCTCCCTTCCCCCGCAAATAGAGAGGTGGGTGGCTTGATTGGCAGCTGGGCACACGAAAGAAGGAGGGAAAGAGAAGGAAAGGCGTCAAAGGAGATCCAAGAAGGAAATAGGAGAGAGACAGGGCAAAAAACAGGCAAGGGGAAGGAAACGCGTGTGCGCACGCGCGCCAGCTGGTGGGCGCGCTCCGCAGCCGCCTCGGCCGCCGCCCACTACTTTCACGCCAGGCTCGCGCGGTCGCTTGGTCCTCGCGCGCGCCTTTCGCCGTCTGTTCTGCGCCTGCGCGCAGGTGTCGGCGCCTAGGGGGAGGGGGACCCGGCGCGCTCACGTCACGTTCCCTCTTCCACCCTCCCTGTGTATCGCCGCTCTGCGCCTGCGCAGGAGAGTCGGGAGGCTCGGGTTGCAGGCTCCGGGGCGATAGCTCCTGTCAGGCGGTGGGTCGGTCCTCCCGTCGGCCCTCCTCCTCCCAGGTCTCCGGGGGAGGCGCGGTGGAGTCCGCCCCCAGGGTCCCCGATGGGGGAGAAGCGGCGACGGCGGCAGTGGAATAATCGAACCGGAGCGTGAACGGCCCCGGGGCCCCGTTCCCCGCGGAGGCCATGGGCGACCCAGCCCCCGCCCGCAGCCTGGACGACATCGACCTGTCCGCCCTGCGGGTGAGCGCGCCGCCCCCCAGCCTCGCCCCGGTTCCCGTCCCCGCCGCAGGGGAAGGAGCGGGGTGGCTGCACGCCTCACGTGCTCCCTGGGCACCCCTTCCACCAGCCTGGTTCCCCTCCGCAGCCCATGCCCCTTTCCTGGGCTCCCGGCGCTGCTGGGCGCCCGCCCTCTGCTCCCCTTCTCTCTCCACTCGCTGCAGATTCTGGGAGGCAGTTCGGTCCCCACCCTGTGGTGCCCCGCCCCCACACTTCCCTGCCACCCCTACCTTTACTCTGGGGTTCGGGACTCCCTTCTCCGAGGTGTTTGAGGCACACCTTCTGGCTTCCCTAAACTTGGGCCCTCCCCCACCATCGCCTGCAAAAATCTTTGCTGTGGCTCCTCACCTCCTCCTGGCCCAGTTTCCACCTTTGCCCTTACTTCCATCTCCTTCCTCCCCCTCTTTCTTGGCTCCTGGAATTTTGACTTTGTAACTGTCTTGACAGCCTCCCCCTCATCCCTCTTTCTCTT